AAAAAAAGCCAGAAATGGTGCTGTGGCTCAAGTGGTAGAGTGCTAGCCTTGAGCTGAAGAGCTGAGGGACAGCACCCAGGCCCAGAGTTCAGGCCCCACGACCGGACCCCCCAAAAAAAAATTTACTTTTTTTATTTTTTTGCTGGTGTTTGAGCTTGAACTCAGGGCCTGAGTACTGTCCCTGAACCTCTTTGTGTTCAAGGCTAGTGTTTACCATTTGAGGCGCAGCATCCCACTTCTGGCTTTTTCTGAATAATTTATTAGAGATAAGAATCTCACGGACTTTTCTGCCCCGGTTGGCTTTGAACCATGATCCTCCCATCTCACCATCCTGATTACAGCCTCCTAGGGTTATAGGTATGAGCCACCAGTGTCTGGCCTTGTATTTATAACTGGAAAAATAATTCAGTGTGAGAACAGCATCAGATGGGTAATTGAAATAATTCTACAATATCACCATCAAACAGTATTGACCAGCGCAGCTGGGTGACCTGTTTGGGGAGAAGCAGGAATTCCCAGGTTTAAAAACATTGCTGTGAATATTGCCACTTGCTAATGAAAATGGAAAGGTTCCAGTGGGTGTTGTGGGAGTTATAACAAGTCCCTGAGTCTGGGGTCCCACAGCCTTATTTGCTCCCCAATGTTTCAAATAGGGCATCACAGAGAGTCCTAACACCTCTCCAAGAAGTGAGCAATGCCAAGAGAAAAAACAGCAGACACCCCTTCACCATTCATTTCTGCCTTCAGGAGACAGGCCTCATTCGCCTCCTTCGTAAGGAGATAGCAGCAGTTTTCCGAGACAATCGAATGATTGCGGTGTGCCAGAATGTAGCTATGAGTGCAGAGGACAAGATTCTCATTCGTCACCAGCTGCGAAAACATAACATCTTGATGAAGATCTTCCCCAATCAGGTAGGGGTAGGGCCTGTCTGCCCCCAGGCCCTTCAGACATGCTCTGTTCTGCTCCCTGGGAGGGGTATTTCCCACCCTCTCACCTGATGCCTAGGTCCTAGGTTGCACCCTCAGTCTGTGAACAGGGTGAGTGGTTCTTCTTCGACCTGTCCCCCATCAGAAGTTCTTTTTTGTCACCCCAGGTTATGAAGCCTTTTCTGGAGGGTTCTAAGTACCAAACCCTGCTGCCCCTTTTTGTGGGTCATAATATGCTGCTGGTCAGTCAGGAGCCCAAGGTCAAGGAGATGGTGCGGATCTTAAAAACTGTGCCTTTCCTGCCATTGCTAGGTGAGTAAGCAGCACTGTGGTCGGCAGGGGTGTTATGGAGTGTGCAGTGAGCACAGAGCCTGGAGAAGGGCCTCCTCTCATGCTGGGCTGACTCTGTATCTGTTTTGTCTCCCTGCTTCTGGTCATTTCTAGAGACAGGAAGACAGAGCAGGAGCTTTGGGGTAGGGGAGGGGAAATTTAGACCTCTGGAATCTTACCACCAGAGAGTTTTCGGTGCTGAAACTCCACAGATGAAGGTATTTCAAACAAGTATCCAAATAAAAGGTGCTTAGGGACGATGCCTAGTATTCCTAGACATTGGTGATGATAAAACTGTCAGGCCAGTGCTGCCCATGTCCTCAGGACATCCAGATTTCATAGAAATCTGTGGTTATACTTTCCTCCCACATACTTCATTCTCCTTTTTCCAATTTTTCTATTGTAAAATACATATGATGTAAACTTTACCATCAGAACTTTTTTTGTCGTTGTTTTTTGTCGTCGTGGGTCTTGAACTCTGTGCCTGAGTGCTGTCCCTCACCTCTTCAGCTCAAGGCTAGCACTCTACCACTTGAGCCACAGCATCACTTCTGGTTTTTTGAGTTGTTTATTGGAGATAAGAGTTTCAAGGTCTTTCCTACCTGGGCTGGCTTTGAACCATGATCCTCAGATCTCAGCCTCCTGAGTAGCTAGGATTACAGGCGTGAGCCACCAACGCCGGCCATCAGAACCATTTTTAACTCTGTGTATATGCATGCACATGCATGTGCGTGTGTGTTGCAGGCACTCCTCCTTAGCTCTTTTGTTCAAGGGTACCATTCTACCATTTAAGCCACAGCTCTACTTCTTGCTTTTTAGTGGTTAATTGGACATAAGAGTCCCATAGACTTTCCTGCCTGGGCTGGCTTCAGACCTCCAATCTTAGATCTTAGTGTCCTGAGTAACTAGGATTACAGGGATGAGCCACCTGTGCCTGGACACTTTTCACTCTTGAGTGGTATTAGATATATTTGTAATCCTGAACCATGATCACCTCCTTCCATCTATATAACTCAGTCTTGTAAAACTGAAATTTTATAAATCAAACAGTAACTCTGTTTCTTCCTACTCCGTGATCCTATCTTTTTTTTTTTTTTTTTTGTCAGTTGTGGAGCTTGAACTCTGAGCCTGGGCACTGTCCCTCATCTCTTCAGCTCAAGGCAAACACTCTACCACTT